AACCCCGAACTTCTACCCCCCCAATTTCATCTATTCTCGAGTTAGTTACCCTGCCACCCTGTGATCCTATACTCTGAACCCCAAACTCCTTAACCCTCGAGCTGGTTACCCTGCCACGCTCTAACCCCAAACTCCTATACCCGAATTTCTTCAGTCCTCGAGCTGGTTCCCCTGCCTCGCTCTAACCCCGAACGCTTAACCCCAATTTCCTTAACCCTCGAGCTGGTTACCCTGCCACGTTCTAACCCCGAACTCCTCCACCCGAATTTCATCAACACTCGAGCTGGTTACCTTGCCACGCTTTAACCCCAAACTTCTACCCCCCAGTTTCATCTATTCTCGAGCTAGTTACCCTGCCACCCTGTAATCCGATACTCTGAACCCCAATGTCCTTAACCCTCGAGCTGGTTACCCTGCCACGCTCTAACCCCGAACTTCTACCCCCCAATTTCATCTATTCTCGAGCTAGTTACCCTGCCACTCTGTAATCCGATACTCTGAACCCCAATGTCCTTAATCCTCGAGCTGGTTACCTTGCAACGCTCTAACCCCAAACTCCTATACCCGAATTTCATCAATCCTCGAGCTGGTTACCCTGCTACGCTCTAACCCCGAACGCTTAACCCTAATTTCCTTAGCCCTCGAGCTGGTTACCTTGCTACGCTCTCACCCAGAACTCCTATACCCGAATTAATTTTAAATGAAATTTCAGAAACTTCATTTTTTCTGAAAAATTTTTGCAAGAAAATATTTGAAAATATAGCTTTTCTTTCAGGCGACTCAGGGGGTTGCAACCCCTGTAGACGAAGTCTATATATTTAGCTGAAATTTTTTAAAAGAATTTTTTAGAGTTTGTTTCGTCGAAAACTGCGCATAAAATATGAAAATTTCGTTATAAAATGGTGTTGAAGGGTAACTTTCGGGGGTAGCTTTCACCCTCTAAATAATAGATAATCGGAAAACCCCGAAAGCCGTCTATTTTGTTTTATCATTTTCTTCTATGATATCATTTTTTAAATTTTTTTAATAGAATTTTTTGAATATGTAAGTTAAAAATACACTTAAAAATACAGTTTTTTCTCTTTATAACGTAGGGATTGCAACCCCCCGGGGACCAAGGAGGGTTGGGGTGGTTCCCTAGTTAGTAAGCTAGAAACGCAACTCCCTCTTCGAGGGCCCATACATAGCCATTATATAGCTTACCAAGCGCCCTACCAACTTGTGCAGTGTCCTACCTTAACAATTTCTATAAGAAGAATCTGTTTTGGTAATTGATATAATAAAATGCCTCATTTACTAATCGGGGGAAGGATCTAGAGGGTCACGACTGAGTCAAGGAAGGGCTCTGGGGGTGATCGGGAGTCACCACCCACTCCCTGATCACTCACGACACGTGGACAGCGCGCGCATTCGCAAACCTCTCTGTATGTTTCAAGCCACCTGGACCCCCCACAAAGTGGCTTGAAATATACATTACTTATCTACTAACCAAGTTTTCTATTACCGAGGATCTACGGTTACGGGAGTTATTAAACAATGAGTAGAATCTTTTAACAAAGGTGGACGATGCTATAAATATCTCTCAAATCAGTTTCGCAAATTAAGTGATGTTAAAATAAATTAAGGGATTTTTATCAAACCTTAAATTCGTAAGATGATAAAGCGTGATAGTTTTGTTACAAAAATGAATAAATAAGAGAAAACATCGTGGCTGCGTTTCAAGGACGTAGTCAAAAACTTTTTAAGAAATCATTCGAAATTTTACCAGGATATCAAGAAAATGGGCCGTAGGTATAAAAAAAAATAGGATGTTAATATGTTAGTAGATTATTGCTGGTCTTTGAAAAGAGATTTACCACCAGGACCAAGAGAGGCGGAAGAAAAATCTACTTCATAGTTCATTTGATAATAAAGTTAATCGATATTATGATAAAGAATAATAAATTTTAAGCGATTTCCTATGATTTTTAATGGTGAAAATTATCTTTATCGCTTGAAATATAGCTGACTATGATTCATTTTGAATATGTAGTATTCATTTTTTTGTTGCTGTTATCACTCTTTGGATTCTGTGTTTTTAGTTTGTCTGTACGTACCTATGTTAACATGTGAAAATATATCATGTCTGTTGTCTTAGCTATGTTTGACTATTTATGTCGAAGACATGAAATTGAACTTAACACTTATCTAATAGTCATACCAACTTCATATACGAAATCAGCTATTCGAAAAACATATAGATCCGTTATTTTAACTAATATTTAATGAATTCTGTGGATTTCATCTTGAAATGATCTTGAACCTGATATGATTAGATTAAACCGACTTTGAATACAAAATTAGTGACCTCGAAAATATATAGATATCTTGGTCTAGTTTTGGTATTTAATATTTATTAAAAAAATTTTTTTTTGTGGGTCTGTGTAATTTGATAACGTAGAACCTCGGCATATTTAAAATTGATCAGTGCGTCTGCCATAATGATAATTTTCAAGAAATAGAATCTATAGAAATAGGTTCAGAGGCAATGGAAATTGATAATGTAGATTCAGAGTAAATCCTCTGTATACAATTCAATCAAACTTTGTCAATCACTAAATAGTGACGAAAAGACTTTCAGCATTCAGCCATAATTGCAACCATCGAAGCATTTTATCATGAAGATGATATTAATAGAATCTGTTTTGGCTGAAATGATTTTACCATTATAAAATAAAACGGTGAACGTATGCAAGTTCAAAGTCGTTTATTGTTTCACACACTATACGAGGCCTCCGCTCTTTTTAAAAATCAATACCTAACGTGAAAAAAGCTTTTTCCGTCTTTTTATACTTTTCGATCAAAAGATTTTGTTTGGTTAATGATTTAAGAGTGTTTAATAATATTTGCGTATGTATTCATCACTAAAGTTTCAAATTAATATTGAATGCCGCAAAATTAAAAATGAAGGGCAATATAACGGTTCTGTTAAAAATACGTAATATTTTTGAACAATCATTATGTGATAATGTAACTGAAGCGTGTAGACTTAATGCGTATTGGGAATGCTCTGGCTTTAAGACTTAAGAGTAAAAGACTTTCATTCGCTCATTAATAATAATCGGTGGTCTTCAGCTTCGATAAACGCAGAGAGAAAACATTATCATTTATTTGTTATATTCTATTTCCAAAAATATTCTCTTTTCATGAATAATTGGATAATTAAACATGCTAACTATTAAATATATGGAAGAGTAATAACAGTAACAGCTTGGTCAAGATTTATCTAAGAAAACCATTTAAAGATCTAAAAGATAGCCGAGAGGTGGTTTACTGTCAGGGGCGATCACAACCATACGTGAAGGTGTCTTCTTTGTATTAGTGCCATGCCTTACGATTTGAGCCCTTGAATTTTCATAGCACAAGCTTTTGAAAAAAGAATTTTATTATTTATTGTTATAATTATTTCAAAAGTATAAGGTATAATATGTATTTTAGAAAAAATTCGATTTCGATATTTGTATTGGTTTTTTAAAATGCAGCCTTTTGAAATGTTGTTATCACTTTTCTTTAATTTTTAATAAATGTTGATTGCTATGAAAGTCTGGGAACAAAATCATTTCTATATGTACAACGATACTGCTAAATTAAAAAAAATTCATAGCCTAAGGCGTGTGGACCCATCAAAATTACCATGAATCACTCATACGTATTGGTATTTATTGCGTCGTTATTTAACTTTTGTTTACGTGTGATTTATACGATCTTCTAATTTGCGTTATGATGGCGTTGTTATATACACTAGGACTGTATATGTGCTGGGTGTTGAATCTACCTGAAGTGCGCACAATTAAACGGTGTATTTTACAAATATCACGCCTTGTCAGGCATACGAGGGATTCAAGCATTAGTAGATGAATCTCCGGCCTTTGCTTAGTATTCGTGGCGTCCAGAAAGCAACGGCCCAGACGACGAATTTCTTCATCATAAAAGTGCAAGACGTCCAGCTCCCGATGGATGCAACTTCATTTGGCCGGTCACCACAGGCACTCAACACCACCACGTGCAAGCTGGATTGCACCATCGAAAAAGGAACAGCACAAAGAAACTTCACAATGAAAGAAATATCTTTGTCTTTTCTTTACATTTTCCTGGTTAGTTGCTCTCTCCCTTGCACTAGGTGTCTCTATGTTTTTTCTTTCGATTTTCTAGCCAATATTTTTCTTACGTTTACTCTCGCTATATTCCTTCGCTGTCGCTCTTTAGTCTATGCGTGTGCTTCAGCGAATCTTTATTTGTTACTATATATATATATATATTTATTCGTAAAATAAATCTGTCCACATTGTTAGTCAATTTGTATGAATTGGTATGTTGAGAATTACTAAGTTGTGTGAAGGATAGTACTTAACCCTTAAATTGCACACCTCATTTTGGCCACGTAACTGCTCAGTGGGGTAAATCTACCCCAGCCCGAAAAATATCGAATAAATCAGAGAATTTTAGATATTTTGCTATGAAAATTTTTTCTAGTATATTTCAAACGTTTTACTACAAAAAAAATATTCAGGTTAACAATTTTTAATGTTACACACACTGAAAAAAATTGTTGAAAAAAAAATTTTATTTATTGTTAAAAATTGTCTAGGGTAAATCTACCCCACATAGCAGTTGAGGGTTAAATAATTTCTGATACGTGTTATGTCATATCCCGCAAAAATTTTGAAATGGAATATATTAGGTGTACATAGGTATTTTATTTAAACAATCTAGTGAAATTGTTATGAATTAACTAAAATACCTTTTAAGCAACTTGTTTATTACATAAAGAACATAAAAGATACAGTTTCTTTTGAATATGATAAATAAAATTAATGTTATATTAGAACAAGCAACATGATTGCGACTAGAAATTTTTACTACAATTTTGGAATGATGATTTAGATTAGTTGGGTATATAAGAACTTTTTTTTTAATCAAGTTAAAAAATATCATATCCATGAAATATTTTATTTTTTCAGATGATTTAGATATTGCTCCAGATTTTTTTGAATATTTTCTTGGAACATATCCTATTCTTAAAGCAGACCCTACATTATGGTGTGTATCAGCTTGGAATGACAATGGCAAATCTGAATTGATTGATTCTGAAAGTACTCACTTGTTATATAGAAGTGATTTTTTTCCGGGATTAGGATGGATGCTTACTAAGAAACTTTGGATAGAACTTTCTTCTAAATGGCCTCAGTCGTAAGTTTTTCTGCTTCCTAATTTTTTATTATCAAATGATTGCTATAAGCATGATTAAAATAAAGTTAATTTTGTTTAGGTATTGGGATGATTGGATACGTCAACCAGAGCAAAGAAAAAATCGGGCTTGCATCAGACCAGAAATATCACGTACACGTACATTTGGAAAACTCGGTGTGAGCAAGTAAGTAGATGGTATGAATTGTGTTCTAGATAATTATTTATTTTATTAAATAATAAAATGTCTGTTAATTTAATTTTCGGACTGATACGTTTCATTCTTTCTATTAACAAAAAATACTTAAAGTTTCGACTATTTAAATGTGACGGAGATACATGCATCATGAATCAATAATATTAGGCAACGTCAGGAGCGATTTATCAACTGTATGTTTACAATCAACATCAAACATGTGACATATTTGAATTATTTTATTTGCAAAGTTATAGCTAAACCTAAAATTTCTTATGCGTCTCAATTAATTAAACCAAACAGAAAAATTTTTATTCCTTAGAACTATATTATATTTCATTGCGACGTTTTTTAGATGCTATCAGTAAGATTCATTCGCAGCCCATTACTAATTTTCAGCAATAGTGCAGATTCCATGTGTGTTTATATGACAGGCAATTTTTGATTTTGGGTCTGATGGCCTTCGAAGATATTAATAACACCTCTGACCACGTTTCACTCGGATGAATAGAAAAATACTCCATCTCTCCTTTTTGGGCTCTTTTTTGTGACTGTGCCTCTCTCAAATGTACCTCTCTATCTTTAACCAAATCTGAACATTAGATCTTCGGTATTATTGGATACTTTGGGTGATGTAAAGGGATTTAAATACAGAATCTGGCATCGCGTATAGATCCAAGAGTTATTAAGATAGATTGTGTCTATTAATGACACTATTATCGCCTCAATCACAATCATTATTAAGAGCCCAAAATTATTGAAAGAGTATTGTGTTCCATCAAACGCTATCCTCAGTCCACTCCTCTCAGCTATCCACTTTAGAATTATCGCAGCTTAATTTCGTGACAAAGACAACAGATTTGCGTTTGTAAACATATGCAATTAACAGTTAGTAATAGCTCATGTAAATAAAATAAAAAATTTGCTCACATGACTCGAGTTACCCATACCTCCAATGCGTATATCATCCACTGTCAATTTATCAGTCATTAATGCAGTATGAATCTACGCAAGTACTACACTGTATAAGAAGTGGTGTTACTTCTGAATGATATCAAAACTATAACAGGTGACTTTCTTTGATAAACTATCATCCTTGCAAGCGGATTTCGAGACTGGAAGCACATACGTGAGAAGTTAGAGGAAAGTTATGTTTTTATACTCTGGAAAAACAGTAATTTGAGATAAAGTTACGCTCACGTTTTGCCGAAATTATGAAGCTATGACGATGAACTTCAAGTATCTGTCTGATGGAGTCATGCCTTACCAGCACGAAGTAACCCTCAGGTACAGACAAAATACACAAATATCTATAACAACTCGAACGAAATTCGCTGGTGACGTCACGACCAATAAGCGAATTAGAATAAAATTTGATTTCTGTCCGCATAGAAAAATAGATAAGAGTAGGGGTAGATCTTTCCTATCAATTAATGTTAGCTAACTTAGTGGGGGGGGAGGGTAAATAACGACGAAAGTAGGAGAATCAAGGAGGGCACTGTAGCTTTCTAATTTACATACGGACCAGTGATGAAATATTCGGAGGGCGCTACCGATATCCAAATTAGCATACCGACCAATAATAGTATTTATTCTCGGAAAGAGGAGAAGAAAAGCGATCTTTGACCGCGAAAAGCCCATTCTCGTCCATTTTGCCGTTGTTCTTCTAGCCAGGAGTGATTGCGCCAGCATATTTCTCGCTAAGCAGCATTAATTGTGCTAATAAATTTTTTTCACGCTAATTTCGCTCGCCAAATTTTCAGCAGGAAAACCGTAAGTAGGCAAAGTGCCACTCATTACTAATAATCGCGGAGTGCGGGAGTGGACTTCTTGGTGCAGTAGGTCATCGCGACGCGTGGATCCGTCGATGCCGGCGCCTATTGTTTCGAGTGATTCGCACTGACCTTTCCCCCATTGCGTAGAATCGAACGTGAGTGTTAGGATCAGACGAATTAAAAGCAGTGATCCAATTATTCGCGTTGACCTTTCGCCAATATAGTAGTTATTGCGAATGTAGGTTTAGACGAATAAAATCAGTGATCCAATTATTCGCGCTGACCTTTCGCCAATATGGTAGTTTATTGCGAATGTTAGAAGTAGACGAATTAAAATCAGTGATTAAATTATTCGCGCTGATCTTTCGCCAAAATATTAGTTGTTGCGAGTGTTTGAATCAGACAAAGAAAATCGGTGATTAAGTTATTCGCGCAGACCTTTCACCAATATGGTAGTTTATTGCGAATGTTAGGCTTACGAGTAGACGAATGAAATCAGTGATCCAATTATTCGCGCTGACCATTCCGCCATCTTCGTCAATCAAAGACCGACCGGGAGAACATAAACTTTTCTATTATTTCGTGACCTTGCTATTACGTATAATTATGCAGAATCATATTGACCCTAATTAATCAGACCACATGCGTATGAATTATGAAATAAGTCAATAAAAGTGATTAATTGTTCTTTATAAAAATTTTTGCTTCTTGTTACCCTGCCTTATTTGCATGCTGATTATTTTCAGCCGTGAACGGTTATAATCGGGTAATACTGATTTGTATATTTTCGATTTCCACGATAGGTAACATACGCGCGAATTCGAACGGACTTCCGACCTGAAATAAAGAGTTATCATCTGAGCTGCCGGCATATCATAAACGAGGAGACAAAGAGGAAACGAATTGTTGGACACCGAGGTCTGGAGTAGAGAAGATCGCAAGTACCCATCCGTTTGCCCACCCTGCGCAGTCGCCATGAAAGCAAATCGGGATTCGCAACGACCCTTAGGCCCTATCCCCGACGATCGCCCTAGTCAAACGGCGGTCTGGCGCCCTAAATAACCGGAGGTAAAGAGCCAAACAGGGCTTGTGGCGGAAGAGGTTCGGTAGCGCGGTTAAGACCCCCGAATTTCCCCGCCACAATATATAAAGAGTGTACTGGTGTATCTATGTTTCGTCTACTGTTATGAATCGACACAGAAAGTCGTCCGGATGATGGTGGATGCGCGCCAAAAGGGCCTCAGCGACCATCACTCAACTACGTCTGTTCTCGACTGAGAGCAAACGTGGCACCCATCTTGCCGACATTTTTCTCATGTCCAATTTCTCATGCAAAATCTAAATGACTGTACCTTTTGAAATCCCTGTGGCCTCAACTACTTCGCGCAATTTTATTCTTTAGTCACTCAACACCATGTCGTGGATTTTATTAATCAATTCCGGTGTGCTCACGTCTACAGGATGGTCTGAACGATGTTCATCTGCAGTTAATGTACGGCCACGTTTAAATTCATTTATCCAATTGAAAATAGTTGCAAACACAGGAGCTGATACACCATGAACTGCATCTAACTCAGCTTTGATTGCATTCGGTATTAGGCCTTTTAAATAGAAATGTTTTATCAACGCTCGGAACTCACTTTTTTCCATTATTAACAAGAAACAGAATTGAAAAGTTGTTCAATTTAATCGACGATGAAAACGGAACTAACTACTAGATGAATCTGGCTCAAACTTCGGCAGCACTCTATTTAATAGTGACGCTTGCTGATGCAACAAAAGTTGAGATGCTTTGAGCGTCATCTCTTGGATTTTCTAAGGACATATTGATCCACTCTCGTACATAAGAGTTATGTGATCTGGTTAAATAGTCATAAACATTTTTTATTTTGTAAACTTGTGTTATTAATCCGTCGTTTATATTAAATACACAGGGCAACCATTTTTAGTCCCCGAAGCCAGTCTCAGTGTATGCAAAATAATTTAAGGTGTTAAATCTAAATCTTGTAATAGTGTTGGCCGTCCTTGGCCGATAATCCTTTCCCGCTATCACCAAATTCTTTAAGGGGGAGGTAAGGGAGGCGGTGTATCGCTCCCAGCAAGGCAGAAGAGGAAACGCGATCGCAATAAACATTCAAACCTTTTACCAACTAAATACGTTTATTATAAAATCGCTACCTTGAGCGATGACGAACAAAACAATCTATCAAACCTTAACCTAATACACAATAACTTCTTACCACTAAATGAGATGACCGGCACGTGAGCACCTTGCCATCTCACAACCGACTCGATACATAATAAAGAAAGAAAACTTAATCACTAATTCAGCTGTGCCAGCCCGCGAGAGCCTGGCACAGCGCACAAGTCGCGAATAGCCAAAAAGGTTAAAACCGATTAAGGAAGAGAAACGAGAGGAGAGAGTATGACCTGTTAATTGGCGAAGTCCTCAGGGCTGGCGAATTGATCGTCTTTCTGCCGGCCGGTGACCTCCTTCGATAATAATAAACTCGTGGACAAAGGGCCGCTCTCCAGAATACTTTGCTGGTGCGTTAGCTGATATGCTCTCGCTCGCAGGGTCACTTCCTTAATGCTCGCGAGAAGCGATGCAATAGTTCATGAGAGACTGCTTCTCACGCCCTCCCCACTCACTTGCCTAATCGGCGGCACGTGGCAACGCCAAGCGTGGCCAGTGTCGCGCGCCTAGCTGCACTATAGTTGCACTATAGCAACACTCTTTCTTTCTCTCTCTCTCTCTCTCTCTCTCTCTCTCTCGCTCGATGACTAACGAGAGAATTAGACTCCTGGCCACTAATACTGCTGCTGCTCTCTCTTTCTTTCTTGATGAAGAGAGAAACCGATGCTGAAACAAAAGTCTGGCATCAGGCACGAAACATACGTGCGCCAGATGCCCGCCATGAGCCCTTGCCGATGTCGGAGAGAGAGAAGGAACGCACGGTGTAGGCTATGACCAACCTACACCGTTACAATCTGGATTCAAATATGCTCCATTACCATAAGTATTTGGGTATCCTTACCTCAAAGTTGACTGTTTAAAAACTTTTCTCATATCAGAATTTTTTATTTTACTGCAAATTCAAACAAAATATTGGAAAGAGCAAGTTTTGTACTTTTACAAACATTATCAATTTTTCTTTATTGGAATTTTATAAGCTGCGCTCTCGTAGTTTGAAATAGTGAAAATTTGAGTTATGA